AAAGTTACAGTTACATAATATTTCTACTTCAATTAGTTTTTTTGAAATATAAACATTTAAATGGTGGCTGTCATAAAAACTTGATGGATTTATTCAAACATAAATTCAACATTAAAGAACAGTAAAAATTAAAATGAATATGTTATATGGTGCATATATTAAGCAAAATGCCCCTCTCTACAGTTTATTTTTCTATCTGACTAATGAGTTTATGGTCACCGAATATGTTTTTTTCTGAGGTAAATGTGACGTTACGTGCCCCATTGTTTACAAGCCGTTATATTGACGTCTTTGCGCGGCTGAAACACTGATTGAGCGATTATATGAGACTCGATACGGATTGTAAAGTTGTACTCTTTCTTTTAACTTACCTTCGGATGTTTAGTCATGTTTATTTTGTGCTGAAACTGGTATTAATGTGGAGGAGATGATCAATTCACGTGTGCCTCGCGCTGCCACGTCTGTTGATTGAGGCGCTACAGCGATCTGTCACTCCACGTTAAACAGCGCCAAAACGGCTTTTATTGTTTGAATACTGCAATACAAATCTCTGAGACTTTGTTTCATTTTACAAGTACCAAAACACAATGTTTATTGCGATTTATTGGATGGGAAGTGCCCTTCAACGTTCAGTCCATTAACTGAAATCAGCAAACAAACAAACACACACACACACACATAAAAAACACATGTATAAAATATATAAAATTATACAACAGTTCGTTCTGGTTCTCAAATCTGATTGGTTGAGAACCGTGAGATATTGTACTGATATCGCTACAGGAAAAATATTGCAAATGATATAAAATATATTTAAACAAATTATAATTATTAGATATTAAATGCAAAAATAAAATTGTACAAATCTTACAAATAAATTATAGATAGGCCTATTTATTATACAAGATATTTACAAAGTCCTGAATGATTGAATATGTTCACAGATGGAGTTCTCAGATGATCAGCAAACTATTTTAAACATATTATTTGTTCAAAAATATTCATATTACTTTTTTTTTTATATTATTAGTAAGATTAGCAATTAATTTAATAAGACATTAACAATATCCTAAATGACTGAAAATATCTACAGATGGAGACCTCTCTCGGATTATTAATATTAGTTCAAAAATACAAACAAATTAAATAGTAAAATATTCCAAAAATATTGTAAATTAAATATTTCATTAAATGTACTATTAATATTAGATATTACATCAAAAAAAAACACACACACACAGACACAATCTGAGCATGTCCAGGTTTGCCGTCCATTCATTCATACACAGTCAACAGCAGCATCTTCCATAAACCTCCTGCAAGCGTCCTGTGTTAGATCAGCGAAGGGAAGAGGAAATATAAAACTTGTAGCAAATCACACGATTCCACCCCCAGTCTTTACACAACAGCAGCAGATATGAAATTATGCAATTAAAGCTGCAGTTAAACTAAGCCGCCGCAGCAATCTTAAACCAGCATTTTTCACTCACAATGAGGAACTCCTTAGCAACAAGAAACCAGAGGCTCTTCTCGCTTCAAAAATTCAGCTTTACTTCACCTCCTCCCTCCCTCGGTGAAAGACGAGGAATTACAAACACACGTGTGTCTGTGTCGGGTCCTAATCACATAATGAACATGGCATAGATCAGCCCAGGCCTTACACTAGAAATAACACACAGAGCTGGCATCAGGAAGCCAACAATCACTGGCCGTTCGTCTTCAGACTCCTGGAGGATTCCTGGATAGTGAGTGAAGCAGGACTAAGAGGAAAAAGGGCATATTGGGAACAGTCAGATGCCTGTGGTGCTGATCTGATTAGGCAGACAGGCAGACTAACACAAAGGAAAGCGGTAGTTGACATATACTGTGTGATCTATGAGGAACAAGCTGATTCCTGTGTGCGGATTATGCATTTCTACTGGAATTCAGCAAAACGGAGATCGGTTTACAGTGGCTCAAACATGCTTGGACACTTTCGAAGTTCTGAATGTCATTGTACTAGAACATTTTTCCCATTATTAAAAGAAATGGTTCACCCTCTGGCCATCCAAGATGTAGATGAGTTTGTTTCTTCATCAGATTTGGAGGAATGTAGCATTACATCACTTGCTCACCAATGGGTCCTCTGCAGTGAATGGGTGCCGTCAGAATGAGAGTCCAAACAGCTGATAAAAACATCACAATAATCCACAAGTAATCCACACCACTTCAGTCCATCAGTTAATGCCTTGTGAAGCCAAAAGCTGCGTGTTTTTAAGAAACAAATCAATCATTAAGACGTTTTAACTTCAAACTGTTGCTTCTGGCTAAAATACAAGTGCTCTATCCATAATATAACAATCCAAAAAGTCATCTCGTCTGAATCAGGAGAGAAATCTGCACAGATCAAGCACTGTTTACAAGCCAAAACAGCTCTAAACAAATATGTGGCTGGATTTTGATGTGAGAGACAACAGGAGATGGACTTTCTCACTGAAGGAAGCGTTATTATGGATTATAGACTTTATAGACTAGAGTATTTTAGCTGGAAGCAATGGTTTGAAGTTAAAACGTTAGATTTTCTTTTTCTTAAAAAAACAAGCATCTTTTCACTTCCATTAATTGATGGACTGGAGTTACTTGTGGATTATTGTAATGTTTTTATCAGCTGTTTGGACTCTCATTCTGACGGCACCCATTCACTGCAGAGCATCCATTGCTGAGCGAGTAATGCAATGCTACATTTCTCCAAATCTGATGAGGACACAAACTCATCTACAGATTGGATGGCCTGAGGATGAAAAAAAAAAATTGGCAAATTTTAATTTTGGTTGAACAATTGCTCTAATGCAGAAACTACAATTAACTTAAAAAAAAAAGAGCAATACATTTGTTACAGTATTTATTTATCTTTGTAAACCAGCTGTCCATTCTTAGTTCACGTTAGCCTAAATAATATTAACAAATACTACTTCTGATTTTTTTTCTTCTTTTTCTTCGTTTAACTAACTAATGTTAAAACATAGAACCTTATTGTAAAAAGTTACGAAAATATCACTTTTCTCAGAACTAACTTCGCTTTACTGAGCCATATCTGTAATGTCTTTCAATCACCTTGGTCATTTTTAGTGGATGTATGAAGTTTTCCTCAAGTTCAACCACAAAGAGTCAAAAGTTTTTCGTCTTCATTTTTTAGTTTATCTATTATTTCATTGTTTTAAAATGTTTTGTTTAACGGAGTGTTTGTGCAAACTCTAATATGAGAGCACAAAACCAGCCTTAAGTCGCTGGGGTATATTTGTAGCAATAGCCAACAATACATTGTATGGGTCAAAATGATCGATTTTTCTTTTATGCCAAAAATCATTAGAATATTAAGTAAAGATCATGTTCCATGAAGATATTTTGTAAATTTCCTACCGTAAATATATCAAAACTTAATTTTTGATTAGTAATATGCATTGCTAAGAACTTCATTTGGACAACTTTAAAGGCGATTTTCTCAATATTTAGATTTTTTTGCACCCTCAGGTTCCAGATTTTCAAATAGTTATATCTCGGCCAAATATTGTCCTATCAAACCATACATCAATGGAAAGCTATTTATTCAGCTTTCAGATTATGTATAAATCTCAATTTTTAAAAAAATGACCCTTATGACTGGTTTTGTGGTCCAGGGTCACAAATAAATGTTTGTATTGTCTCTAATGCAGTGCAATTCATACATTTTAATGTGGCTAAAATGACTAAATGCTTGTTACTAAACTAAAAAGATCAATGAATTGAACTAATAAATGCAATGAAAGGCTCTGCCTTCACTATGATCTTACTGCATAATCAGAAAGCATACAATCTCACGTTCCCATGAATAGCAGAACGTCAAACGCCACTGATCAAACCACCACGGTCCATTTTTTAAGCAATCAGACCACATATAAAATCCAACCAATCATCCTTTTGTCAGGAACAGACAGTCAACTCAAAAATCAGCACAATCATCTTCCTGAAAGCATGCACTAGCATCTTCTGGTGGAGAGGTTGTAAGAAATCACTGCTATTGTAATATTCGGAGATGGCAGATGGGCCGAAACAGCAATAAAGTGTTGCATCACTTGCTCCTCGCAGAGATTTGGTGGTTCCTACTGCCACCCCGACACATGCTCACTTCACATTTACAAAACACCTACTGTTTGTATGCAATATTGCACAAAAACATTTTTTCAATATATAATTTTTTTTTTTTTTTTTTTTTTTTTTGTAAAAATCAATATTTAATCAGTGGTCAATAGGGATGTAACGATTAACCGCGAGCCGGTTTAAAATAGATTAAAATATGTGACGATTCAAATCGGTTGAGATGCTAAACAAATCGCAAATTATTTAGGTGTAGGAGTTTATATGAATGCATGTCTGAGGGTATAAATACACAAATAAATAGAAATATTACATATTTACTATTAAATTAAAAATAAAATATTTGATTTAATATATTTTTTTATTATTTAATACTAGCTACATTTGCAAATAGTTCAAAATCTCAAATACGTCATATAACTATATCTGGATTCTATTTTTAAAAATCGTCAAAACCAAAAAGTGTGGCAGTAATTTGTGACCTGATCAGATACTGGCATCATACACCTGTAAACCACAAGCTAATGGCAAGCTGAAGGTGTGACCCTGTCTGCAGCTAATTCCTAGAAAAGTTCGAGCTCTCACAGGTAGCCTACTTCTTCTCATTTCTGAATAAATGCATCAACGCATGATTCAAAACTCGAGCGGACAAGTTCATAAGCGCGCATTCAGATCCAGCGCTGCAAGCAACACACCCGAGCTGAAGAAGAAGAAGAAGAAGGTTGCAGAGGCAATTTGTTACTGAACCGAAACAAATCAATGCCACATGCATCCAACAGCATAACGTAACACAACGCACAATATCAGCCTCCGGACTCGGGCTGCTCTCTCTGATGGAGATTAGTAACGCAATGCATGATGCAGCTGAAATGCCTGAAAGCACAAACCTGTCTGTCCTTTCCCGAGGGTCTTTTCTAAGCGGTACGGTCCCACGTAATTGGCATGAGGGGTAGTGTTGTTTTCTTTCCCAGACAATGACATTTTCCCCGTCTAAACACACTTCAGGCGGCGTTGCAGTTCTTGGGATACAGCAACCCTCTTATAGCTGCGCTGCACCGGAGGACGCGCTTTACTCCAACTGAACGATGTCTGCTTTTGTTTCTCCTGCCCGTTTGGGACCGAGAGTCTGTGGTTGAGGTGGGAACAGGGCTCTTTTGACCTTTCCTTCTCACGGGGTGAACCGGGCGGCTTAAGATCCGACTGGCATTGCGGAGACCTACACAGCTTGTGTCCGCCAGTGGCCGGTCTGCGAATCCGCCGACGCTACCACGGCGAAGGCGTGCTAATTAATATTCATGAGCCGAGCCGAGCCATTGGGTAGTCAGCCAGCGACGTCAGCGTGATTAATTAATATTAAAAAGCCCGTTTTTTTTAAGACTAAGAAACTAAAAGAGGAAAAAAAATGTTTTATGATTAATCGTTAATTCTGTATGTTAAATAAATAAATGTGAATAATGCTATATAAATGATAATTGCAGTTGAGCTAATGTGTTTTACACAAAATATGTGACCCTGGAGCACAAAAGCAGTCTTAAGTCGCTGGGGGATATTTGTAGCAATAGCCAACAATACATTGTATGGGTCAAAATTATCGATTTTTCTTTTATGCCAAAAATCATAAGGATATTAGGTAAAAATAGTTGTATCTCGACCAAATATTGTCCTATAAACTATACATCAATGGAAAGCTTATTTATTCATAAATATATCAATCTCAATTGGGTCACATATTTTTTTCACAATTTAGTCCTGCTTTTTGAATATTTAATGTATGTATTGATTTCATCAGCATTTATGAATTGTCATGGTTTACATTTGGCAAGTTGCTTTAATGTACATGAAATCTGCTAAAGAAGCCAAGCCTTTGCCATTGGACGATGGGCGCGTGGCGTCAGCAAGCCCTAATGCATATTAATGAGATGCGCCTTTGTCGTAGTAGGGGTGGTAATTTGGCGCGTGATCCGCAGCGCTTAATTTTGATTGACGGAGAAGCTCGCCAAGCAACGCGAGCGTCTGTGTGCCGCAACCTCAGTCAGTCAACAACACCTGATGAGCTCTGACCGCTGATTGTTCTCTGACAGCAATGAAACGACTGTAAAATCATCGAGATTATTTTTATATAAAGTTATAGAATTGCATATTTTATTTTTGTATTTCATTGATGTTAGACCAAATATCTGTAAAACATTTTAAGAATGAAATAAATGAGGAATTCTGTATGTTAAATAAACAAACAGATACATGCATAAACAAACAAATAAACAAACAAACAAATTTGACCAAATGTAATGTGGAATTTGAGACACACATTAACAACAGTTATGCTTGAAACTAAATGTCAGGAACAAAATCAGTTCCTCAAGACAGAACTTGATGTTCCCCTGCAAGATCTGCTCCTCGGGTCCATTCTGCTTCTTAAAAGATTGCACAACACAAGTATGTTCCTACACTGAGTAACATAAACTTACCTTGTGAACTTACTAACTTACTTATCAACCAACCAATCAGAGTTTAGGGATTGTTCTTAAAGGAATAGTTCACAATAAAAAGAAAGTCTGTTATTTACTCATCCTATTTTAGTATTATTTCAATATTTTAGGAATTTTTCAGTTTATATCAGCTTAATTTTCGTTTTAAGTTTTAGTAACATTGTTGTGTTTGTCACTTTTATATTTCAACACTCTTAAAAATAAAGTTGCTTAAAGGGTTCTTCACAGCGATGCCATAGAAGAACCATTCAGTCAAAGGTTCTTTAAAGAACCATCTCTTTCTTACCTTTTTATAATCTGAAGAACCTTTGTGAAACAGAAAGGTTCTTCAGATGTTAAAGGTTCTTTATGGAACCATTTAGACAAAAAGGTTCTTCTATGGCACCGTGAAGCACCTTTATTTTTAAGAGTGTAAATAGCTTTGATTTACTTCAGTTTAGAAATGTATTCAGTTTGGAATTCAAAAAAAGATTTACTTACATGATTCCAGTAATGGTTATGTTTAGGGGTGGACCTTCATACTTACAGTGCTTTGTTTCTAAAAAAATCGTATGATTTGCGTCATATGAAATCGCCACCTCGTTAAATAGTTACATTTTCTATGAGATCAGGTTGGAACGCAAAAGAAGATATTTTGAAGAACATTTCAGAAGTTTCTGTCTGTATTATTAAACTCAATGTGGTCCAAAACTTTCAAGCTTCAAAAAAAAAAACATTAAGGCATCTGTATCATTTCTATAACTGAATTCTATGACATTTCCTATTGTCATGTAAGTTTTTCAAAGCTTTCATCTAATATTTATATTTTACTTAACCTTTATTTATTTCAGCTTTATTTTGATGATTTTTCATAGTTTTAATTTTAGTTCACAATAACAACATCCATCCTCATATATTTACAAAATCGTATGGTTTTTTTTTTCTACTTCTGCAGAACTCAACACAACACAGTCTCATAGAAATATGAAACTATTTTACGTTTTCGCCAGTTGCTGGCTCATTCGTATGATTTTGTACATTTGTATCCTATTTGTACGTTTTCGTCTGATCTGCTGGTTATGTTTAGGGATGGACCTTCATGTTTACTTTTTTCTAAGAATTGCATGTTTTCGTACGGAATCACATCATCATAAAAAAAATTCCGTAAAATTTACGGTAAAAAAACGGCAGCTGTGGTTGCCGGAAAATCACCACCTCATCAAACAGTTATGTTTCTCTATGAGATGAAGTTGGAACTCAGAAAATATTTTGTTGAATATTTCAGAAGTTTTTATCTATACACTCTTAAAAATAAAGGTGCTTCACGGTGCCATAGAAGAACCTTTTTGTCTAAATGGTTCCATAAAGAACCTTTAACATCTGAAGAACCTTTCTGTTTCACAAAAGGTTCTTTCTGGCGGAAGAAGGTTCTTCGGATTATAAAAAGGTAAGAAAGAGATGGTTCTTTAAAGAACCTTTGACTGAATGGTTCTTTGTAGAACCAAAAATGGTTCTTCTATGGCATCGCTGTGAGGAACTTTTTAAAGCACCTTTATTTTTAAGAGTGTAGCCTATTATTAAACTTAATGGGGTCCAAACCTTTAAGCTCCAAAAAAGAATAGCATGAAATTTATCCATACACCAGACTTCTACCTACTGTTTAATTTTTTCACATTTCAGAAGAAGTTTATACTTTGGATTAGTTTAATAATAAAGTTACAACTACAGCATGTTTGTGTGAATGTTGTAGCTAGCTGTTGAAAAAACCAGCATATGCTGGTTAGGTATGTTTTGAAGCTGACAGGGCTACAAGAAGCTGATCCAGAAACACATCCAGTGAAGCCTCAGAGTCACCAGCACCAGCCTCTCACCTTCCCATCCACAATAACAGCTCTCAGTGAGGATCTCCCTTTGAAGCATTGAGGAACATCTGTACACGTTGTGTCTAATCAAGGTTGCCAGACAGTCCCTTGCTCCCCTGCATCACAACGACTGTGAAATTAATCAGGAGGCGCAGCGAGCGGCCGCGCTATTTACTGTTTACATGCTGACGACCTCAAACCAAATAAACTCGGTAAATAGCGTCCTCTTTACCTTTGATTTACCATTGCCCCGTCGTCCGTGTGTGAGCAACCGGGCGAGATGGGAATATTATACAGATTTATGCTAATGAGATGCAGATGTACATATCAGATAGAAAGGGTGAATCCGGGGAAAGCGTTTGTAGATCTGAAGGACAGGAAATGACTTAGCATGATGCTACATGGGAACGTCCGCTAAAGGTCTTACGAGTCTGTGCTAATCTGTCTCGCATTTCAGAAGTTTATGATGATGAGATGAGACACCTGTTGTTTGTAATACAAACTAACTTCCAAACATTTGCTATCGCTCGCAGCTATGAGTGCTGTTTTGGAACTTGCAGCCATAAATTGCAGTTTATTTGATATTCTACAGTGATAAAAATGTTGGGGAAACTAGATTGAAACTTACTGGGAAGTATGTTTTTAAATATAAAACTTTATAAAAACGTTCATTTATTGCATCTATGGGACGCAAGATAGAATACAAAAAAAAAAAAAAAAAAACACTTGTTGATTTTTCTGATTCACCAGAATGAATTGGACTTTTCTACTCTACACATAAGAGAGAGAACCGTTTAGAACGAACCTATTCACTAAAATGAATGAGACTTGTTAAACTCTTCATCTAGCCCTGCATTCCATTGGGAAGGGCTCATCCCTACGCCCTAATCCCGTAAAAGGGTTTACCCTCCGGAGTGAGAGCTTCAAAGGGTTGAAGGGTGTAGGGGACCAAACAACTGTTTCTTGAAGTGCCCTTCTGCGTCATCATCTCGTGCCCACACGGAGGCGCCGTCATCATGCAAAGAATCTGCTCAAAGGATCATGGGAGCCCAAAGTGTCCATCAGATGTACCCTTCGAAATCCTTCATTCCGAAGGGCCCTTTGATGTGGCCAGTTTTGAGCACTTCGGTTTGGACCGACCCTTCAATATGGCGGCCATTATTGTTTTCAGTCCAAAGTGCCCTTCGGAGGGCGATATATCCTGTTTGGAACGCACCGTAGGACTGTTTAGGACAAACTGATTCACTAGAATGAATTGAATCTTTTCAACTCTACATATGAGAGAGAGAACCAAAGAGATTGAATATACTGAATCAGATTTTCCAAATCTGCGTATAAAAGAGAGAACATTTTAGTATGAATCAATTCACTACAATGAGTTGGACTGTACATCTCTTCATCTAGGACCGTTTAAGATGAACTGATTCACTGGAATGAATCAGACTTTTCACAACATGAGTACGTATGATTATTGCTTCAACTCGTCAAGCCACGTACTTAATACAATTTGACATAAAACTGCTTTTCATCTCCTCACACTGATCTTAGATCAGCTGCACAGATTGTTTGGATTCAGGTAGAGGAAGCTGGTCCAGAATCAGTGTGAGCAGAAGCAGAGTGTGATTAATTGAAGGATCAGCGGCAAACAGGGAAGCCCATCATAGCCCATCTGTAAGCGTTTAGGAGCTGCATCTCTTGTGCTCACTGCTGCATGAGCCAGAATTCAAGAAACCATAAATCAATCTATTGATTGTTTATTTGCCCATAGACTTTAGTTTATGACCTTGATTTCTGTGCGATATACATGCATGAAAGATCTCACATTTTTAAGTGCGATTATGCCAGCAACATTTGTTCGCTGTCTTTAACATGTTGTATTTGTTGAAGTTCTGTTTAAAGCTTCTCAAACTTTCAAAGATGAATTTTTCC